TATTATTATTATTATCTTGCAGGTGAAGTATAGGAAGGCATAGGAAGACATCCCACAGATGGTGGGATGAGGCTTGGAAACTTAACATATATTTTGTACTTTTCATGTATCGCGTTTGTATTCTACGTGAAATCTCAGACACGTAGGTAACATTTGTTTATAATACTAGAAACTGTATACCGTTTGTATTAAATAATAAGATAGTTACTTATCCTTCATAGAACGTTGCAGAATCTGTCATATCGTTATTTTTGTGTGTGTCTGTTGGAGTTTTTCTGGGCAAATATTACGTTCAGTAGTTTCCTATTACTTTCCAAACGGTAAGCTCTCGGTGCCTCTGTCAAAATCAACGCTAAACACGTCGTCCGCAGCTGGGATCGAACCCGACACCCAGGCAGTACGAAGCGCGTTCGCAATGCCTAATCTCTCACGCATGGAGGACGGTCGCCTTTCATAAGTTTTCCTGTACAGTGAGCTCAAAACTGCGAGAAAATCTACAGGAACGTGCGAAAGATCCGCTATATGGACACATGCAAACGTTGCATGGATGATACGAACTTTAACACAGACATTTCGGAAGGAACAGCTGCCGTACGACTCTTATAGCGGCAGAAAGAAAAGGCCTAGCTTTGTATGAGACCAAGCAGAGCACGCTATAGAGAAGAAACGTCTTAGAGAACTGCATCATCAGTATAATAAATAATCAACATTTGAATGAAGACGGTGGTAGAAACTGACACTCTAGCATAGGAATTTATGGTCATAGTAGACGCTATTTCAAGGCGCATCTCCGTGCTCCCTAGGCACTGACGATTGCTTGTATGTGTGAAGGAGAAGCTATAGTTAGTTACAAAAGTCGTACCTCGCTGAAAAATATGTGACCTCCTAAACAGATGTGTGAAAATGATGCAATTTTGCAGGCATCTTGTTAATAACCATGACCTTGTTTTAAAATGGGAACGTCATGTAAACAAACATCTAGTTTTCAATTTGTGTTGTTATTATTATACAGTTAGTGATTCAAAGCAGTCAGAATATTTATAGCTAATTGAGTAAAGAAATCTTGCCAAAACACCAAATGGCATGCTATATGGACACACAGCGCATTAGTGAAACAAAGTCAACTAATCAGTCAAAGTACGAACACGGAAATTTGTGAATTGTAAACAATAAAATCGTAAGGAAAATTAAAAATACGAGGCCACTTGTGTTGACATGTGCAGGAGTTTTCGAGATATTTGTTAAAGTGTGCGGCTACAACGTTTGAAGCACACTGTAATTGCTTGATGGTCATGCTGTTCCTCCTTTTGTTTTCTTTTGTATGACATGCACTAGCCTGTCCTGGTGGCTGGTTTGGCGAAAGTTGCAACTACAAATGCCGATGCACCAATGACGCATGTAACACCAACGGCACGTGTACCGGCCATAACATATGTCAAAGCGGATGGTTTGGCCCAGAGTGTCAGTACGGTGGGTTATTGAATTATTTTTCTACATCTGTGTGGACACTTTCATATGTCTGTGTGACTGGGGATGTTTTAGTGATGTGTATCTAAACTGGCACTGCCACTTGTTTTTATGGTATGTGATTTGATTGCGGTTTGTATCTGCAACATGTATGTTTAGATAAACAAAGGGGCAACCCCTAGGGCCGTTGAAGTGTTTGTTATACACACACACACACACACACACATATATATATATATATATATATATATACATACATAATAAACAAAAATATTTTTTGATCATCACTCATGGAAAGAAGCAGAAATATAGAAGGACACACTAGACAACGCATACATTTTTATGTTGTCTAGTGTGTCTTTCTATATTTCTGCTGCTGTCTATTAGTGTCGACCAATATCATGACCTTTTGTTTTATATATATATGTATATGTGTATATATATATATGTATCTTCAGTATATATATATGTATATATATATATATATATATATATATATATATATATATATATATATATATATATATATATATATATATATATATATATATAGACATAAACATGCCGATGAGTGCACTGTTAAGCTATTGGTAGAACGAATGTTAACAGAGCAGCATTTTTAGCGACTTCCAAGCGGGATAGACGCATGTTCACCTTATGTGAAGAGTGAGGTATGGCAATTCTTTTTTACTGTATATTAAAATTGGAATATGGCCATTTTCAGCCTATTTGAAAAGATGGATATGGCCCACAATTTCGACGTCACGTCTTTCAGTCTCATCTATATTCTACTTAAAACTAGGGCTGTACCGAATAGTGATTTTCACTATTCGGCCGAATACGAATAACGGGACCACCTATTCGGCCAAATACAAATACGAATAATGTATAGCGTATAAAATAAATCTAAAAAAAAAACACACACACACATTCATATTGTCAAATGTACGCTGAACTTTGACTTCACATAAAGTAGCACGGAATAATCATCTTCTTCTTAAACGTTATGAGCCCTTGGGGTTTACTGTTGCAGATATCACTCGTCTCCATTCATCTCTCTGGTTGGCCTTATCTTCAGTTTGTGACACCAGTTGTTTGCAGGTCTGGCTAGACATTATCTCTCGAACTTCGTTTTTGTCTGCCTCATGGTCTACGCCCATTCCTCTCTCAGGTGTAGACAGTTTTACTTCTCTGTCATCTGACATTCTTTCAATAAGCCCTAACCATTATAGTCTGTTAACTCTCATGATACCAGTGATTAATGGAGATTTAAACAAATTATGTGTTACGTTGTTGCTTCTCACTCTCCTTTCCCCGCTGTTGGCATCTTTGATGGGTCCAAAGATTTGTCGTAAGACTCTATTTCCGAAAACCTGTAATAAAGCCTCATCTCTTTTATTTTTGCTTCCAGTTTCAGAGCCATATAAAACGACTAGTCTTATCAACGTTTTATTTATCGCCCGGCTCTCTAGCGAAGTTGGTTAAACCTGACTTTCGCGGCGGCCGGGTGACGAACTCCTTGTGGTCCGGGTTCACTCCCGGGGGTAGGCAGAAAAGCCACATTTCTCCCAGATTAACGGTACCTATAATGGAATCAATGCCACAGGGTTGCGATATCCATAGTACCGAGCCAAAGGGTTTACAACTCATGGTTTCTGGATACGTTAAAAAAAAAAAAAAATCAATGTTTTATAAAGTTTGATTCTGGTGTTCCAAGACAGCATTTTGATTTTAGCAGATGTTAAAGGGCATAGTATACTTTATTTATAGATTGTATTCTAGATTGTATTTCTTCTCTCAGCATGTTGGAGCAGCTGAAGTTTGCACCCAAGTACTTTTATGTTTCCGTTCATTTGATTTTCATATTATTGACTTGGATGTGGCCGGAGTTTATATTCTTTCCATATCTAGTTAGTATTCGTACAGAATAGTACACATTTCAAAACAGTTTATGTTTTGCATCCTTCAGTCAGTCTATATTAATTAATAACTAGGAATGAAAGAATGCTAAGTATTATAATAAGTAACCAAACTTGGAAAATTATCACTGACAGCTTAGTTAATGCAGGAAAGCTGCATTAGCTTTCAACAAAACCAATCGATCCATGTTGTCAGCATTAAGTCCGTGTATGCAGAAGCGGCTGTAAGGTAACTACTATTCGTATTCGGTTCGACCGCAACTATTCGGCCTAATACGGAATAGTCAATAGGTCCACTATTCGGCCCCGAAGCGAATACGAGGCGAGTATTCGGTACAGCCCTACTTAAAACCCACCTTGTCCACACACACACACACAAAAAAACCTGAAAAAGCATTCGATGGATTGAAACACATAGCGAAAATAATTAGGTCAACTGAGAAAATTATATCAGTTAATTAATTAGTAACCATGGAAGTGATCTCGCTAAGAAAGTTTGTAGGAGTGACCAGAAGAGATAAATTCAGGAATGAAGTCATACGAGATCAAGTCGGTACAGAACCAGTTCCAAGTTACATACAAAGTCAAATGGTTTGCCCACTTGGAGATAATGCCTCCTGATGCTATACCATACAAGGGATATACCACATTTTTACCGACGGAGGAGAGGTAGGTAGATCAAGAGGTAGGAAAACGATAGAAAGATAACATCAGAAAAACTCTACAGCACCACGACGTATCTATGGCTGAAGCAGTCAGAAGAGCACAAAGCAAGACCTTATGTATCACTCGACTACCAAAGCCGTAAACGACGTAAAGAAGAGAAAAATAAAAATAATTTATAAGGTAGGTAGGTAGTTGTACCCCACCAGGACATCACACAAGCGATAAACCCCAGGTGACGCAAAGTGACACCATGCGGATGAGGATCACTCGTTGAGAGGTCCTAAAAACGCCTTTCAGCCGTTAGACCAAATTTATGGCTTGGCTATATTCAGGGCCCTCGGCAGAAGCTAGGGTAGGGCTTAAAAATAATAAAAGAATTGCATCCCACATGGGGACGATTTTTATGCGTTAATGAGATTACTAAGATGTTGGGTAATACTATATATATATATATATATATATATATATATATATATATATATATATATATATATATATATATATATATATATATATACATATTTACAAATATATATATATATATATATATATATATATATATAGTTCGTGCATCACAGGTAATGATGACTGGTCATTTTATCCAGTGGCGACTGTATTAGAATTTGTGTGTGCACAGATGGCTGATGAGGCCAATTCTAGCACTGAAAGTTCTTGAGCAGTGTAGACGGGTTATTTAAGCCACACCTCTATGGTGATTAGCTTCAGTGTCTTTTCTAGCCTGCATTTTCTGAACTGCAGCTGCAGCTCTAGCAGTTTCATTAGCCACAGCTCCGTGATGAAGAGAGGAGAGCCAGGATGAGCAGTCACATGCAACGACTTCCAGGGTTTTAGAATAAATACAGAGCATATATATATATCTATGTACATATATGGACATTTGTTAACTACGATAATGTGCATATTTTATGTCCTTAATAGTGGATTTAGCCTTCAGTTCATTGAATGATCAAGAAGTAGTAGATGGTGATGACAGCACGTGTCTTAATCGGTCAAGGATTCTACAGACGAAGGTGGTTCTCAGGGAGCCATTCTATTTCACCTGGCTCAGGGTCATTGTTGCTGTAAAGGGTATGTCTGAATGTACATATGTACGCATGTATAGAGATTACGAACGTGTGAATATATTTATGTGTGTATGTAAGTATCTATGCATGTATGTGCGTAAGTATATATGTTTGTATGTAAGTATGTTTCGCCTCCACACTCTTCTCTTTCTTCTTTTTCTCTTCTTCTTCTTCTTCTTCTTCTTCTTCTTCTTCTTCTTCTTCTTCTTCTTCTTCTTCTTCTTTCTTCTTTCTTCTTCTTCTTCTTCTTCTTCTTCTTCTTCTTCTTCTTCTTCTTCTTCTTCTTCTTCTTCTTCTTCTTCTTCTTCTTCTTCTTCTTCTTCTTCTTCTTCTTCTTCTTCTTCTTCTTTTCTTTTCTTCTTCTTCTTTCTTTCTTCTTCTTCTCTTCTTTTCTTCTTCTTCTTCTTCTTTCTTCTTCTTCTTCTTCTTCTTCTTCTTTTTCTCTTCTTCTTCTTCTTCTTCTTCTTCTTCTTCTTCTTCTCTTCTTTTCTTCTTTTCTTCTTTCTACTTCTTCCTTTCTTTCTTCTTCTTCTTCTTCTTCTCTTCTTCTTCTTCTTCTTCTTCTTCTTCTTCTTCTTCTTCTTCTTCTTCTGCTTCTTCTTTTTTCTTCTTCTTCTTCTTCTTTTCTTCTACTTAAACCTCTTTTTCTTGCTTTTTTCTTCTCTACTTCCTCTACTTACGTGTATAGGGTCATGCGCTCACTTTTCTTACAACTTCCACAGAATTATTTACTTTTAACAAAAGTTAGATCGCGCTTGAGAAAAAGCGGGGGGCAGGGGGGGGGGGTGGTTATGGTCCCTAAGGATATAAGTCTGCATGGCTAGTGTGGTGGTCAGAACTGTGTAATCGAACCGCAGTACACAATTTGCTGCCGACTTTGAATTTGCCTTGTTTTGGGTTTCAATGTTTAGTTAACATTTTGTTCAGCTCGCTGAAGACGTTTCACAATAGCTCGCTTAAACTGCTTCTCCTTACTTATCACCGTTGCAGTCGTACTACTGTTATTTGGTTTATTAATTGACGACAGTGATAAGTATGATGGCCATCATGTGCTGGGCACATGGAGTCTATAATGACTCCTGATCACAAGTATATTCTATGCCAATTCTTTTTTTTTTTTTTGGTATATAAAATAAAAGTATAAGGTAGAGAGAGTCAACTTGTCATAGGAACAAAGGAAGGCGGAAAAATACACGGAGAAGAGAGCTGGAGAATGAAGTTAGAAAGATGGGGAGGTTATGCAATGGCGAAGAATAGAACGACTTGGCGTGAGTTGGTTGACGGCCTACGCTCCATTGGGGAATAGAAAGGTTGAAGAAGAAGAAGAGACAGTCAACTTCATTAAACTGGATTTTGGACCCCATTAGGGTTAGTCTTTCTCTGCAGAACGGCTAGCTTCCTCTTCTTCTTTTTCAATATTCCAAGCCCTTGAGGTTTATTGCTGAAGATATCACCCGCTTCCTTTCATTTCTCTGTTTGGCCTTTTCTTTCCAATTGGTGATACCAAGTGTTTGCAGGTCTGTCTGGACACAACGGCTAGCTACCTGGGCAAAATATCGCGCGAATTACGAATTCCTCAGCGCCAGTAACTATCTGGGGAATCCCTGTCAACGCGTGAAGGAACGACGAGACCATGAAACAAACCCACGACTGTCAAAAATAACAGAATAGAGCGAAGGATCAGTTCTTAATCAAAAACCTACAGGTAGCCATTCATAAGCAGAAACAGTTATCAAAGTGCATCCACCTGTATTCAAAGCAAGCGGAGACAATCGCAACACTGATCTTACTTCTGACGAAGACAGAATATTAGCCTTAAAGATACAGATAACATACTATTTTTAGGAAACGTAGGTACAAAGTATTCCAATACATTACTGCACTTATTTTGAGGATTATTTTGATCGTATATAAAAATTAAATACACAATAAATGTATTATTCACTGTGAACAGATTTTATTTTCACGTGTATACATATTTAGATATTTCTGCTATCCGTCTATTTATTTACTGGAATTAGGGTCAGGGGTTGAGGTGGGGTGTCTCTGTAGCGAATTGGTCTAGCCGTTTGTCACGCGATTTAAAGGTCGCAGGTGCCTTTCACGGCAGCGCCGTTTATTTCAGGAGTGCAATCTTCACGAATATCCCGGGAAAATTGTTTACACTAGACCACATAAAAATCTAAACCTGTAGTTACCATGTCGGGAAACGAACTTGTCACCTACAAGTGACGAAGGCCCTTCATATGGAAAATAAGAGAACGAGCATAGCCAATCGATGCACCGTTATCTATAGCCTTAGCAATGTCCCCGTCTTGTTTATTTCTGAAATGAATGAAAAGGAATCAGCTTAATTTAGCACCCCTTTACCACTGCAAACTACTGGAGATAAATCTGAACGTCCTGTAAAGGACACGCAAATAACCTTTACCACTGATCCTACAGCGACGGCGACCCTCAGAGATCTGAAACTGACCTTTGGCATGAACACAGTCAGAATTCTACGAATATGTCCCTACTTGACGAAGAATCTGGTAAACAACAGAACGCTAGACATGCACTGTAACCTCACAGAAATAATTGATGAACTGTACCTGGATGGCAAGTCTGCCGGTTATATATGTTCAGTCTACGTCAGCGGAGGTAATGTATAGCTTGCCAGGAACCTCACTATACACCGTTAACTAATCGAAGTCTCTGTAACTTTTCAACATGAGCATCATCAATCTGGTGCCGTTTCCATAGCAAAGGTTGGCTGCAATGGATCTGAAATACGCTCTTTCTCTTGTCCTGGTTTGATACTATCAAACTGCTGCTTGTCCATCTCTTGATGTTATCCTCACACTTAAACGGCTGCCTACCTCTTGCTCTTTTGCCTTATAATATAGTCATCATCACGGCGTATGATCCAATTAGTGGAAAGTAACCTGGCACTAAAATGTAACCTGTGTAATTTTTCACCCATTACATAACTACTTAATTTCCGTGCCTCAACCTGTATGCATAACTATGCATATATATATATTATATATATATAATATATATATATATATATATATATATATATATATATATGTGTGTGTGTGTGTGCGCGCGTTTGTGTGTGTGTGTCGTCCCTACTGCCATCTTGAACAAGTCACTCTTCAGTGGCGCAGGGCTGACAGCAAAAGGTATCGGTAATCATGTAAACTGGTGCATCTAGGGCATGTGGCGATCCTCGAAACTTCATGTGGCTTGAAATTGTTAAAAATGTTGTGAAGAGTAGAGTGTGACATTGCAAGCCTTCCAGCAACTTCACTGATAAATAAACCACTTTCCAACGCCGCTCCAGCTCTCATTCTTTGTGTAAGGGCTTCTTCTCAATGACATGGGTAATAAATTACAAGTTATAAGTTAGATTATACTCACAGCACTCCAGACACACCCATAGTCGCTCAGATTACCCTCTCAACATATTCATCAGCGTCGTGCGGTTAATAGTACCAGTCCTATCTTGGTTAGCAAGACTTCGTGTGCGTCCAGTGTGCTTCTCATGTTTGGCTGTGCCGATATTTACTCCCAATTCGCGTATTCTTAGAAGTGATGTGGACAGGTTGCTTCTAAAATCCTCAGAACGTTTTCTCTCTCTCTCTCTCTCTCTAAGGGCAATGACAGTGTCTGCGTGATCCATTAGCCAGCCATCTTCAGTTAATGTAGCACCATCCAGTCTGTCATCTCTCTTATTACCAACAACGCCTGCATACCCTGGGACGAATATGAAAGTAGCTGCAAACACATGAGAATGTTGCATCCACTCAAGCCACTGTCTGCGTAACCAGCCTGCCTCGACCCGCCGGATCCTGCTCAAAGAATCACTTAGCACACACACGCGGGAATAGTCCTGTGATCCCAGCCACATGAAAGCCTGTGTCACAGCCATCACCTCCATCGTCATGCTGCTGGTGGTCATGGAGAAGGCACCGCTGGCTTCCTTAACTATTCTGCCTGTAAATGCCCATACATTCTTATGTCATCGTATAACGGACCCGTCTTTGACATGGGTTTTGCAATTGACGAAACAACTCTTTAATAAGTCTGCTAATTGTTGAAAATTTCAAGAATGAAATTTGCTCACCAACAGTCGCCACTGCACGTGCAATATCAATCAGCAGGATTATTTTACCTGTTTGGTTGTACACACGTTTTTCTAATTTCGGTTAGTTCCACGAAAGTCTCCCCACGGACCACCCGTATACACACTAGCTCACTTCCGATTGGTTGAACTTCACTCAGCCGACCTTCGCGCACTGCTACGGGAGTGTATGGTAATGCTGTTGTTATCGCTTGTTGTATATTGAAGCACACCAGCCCCCCTCCTCGGACAGCAGACCAGTAAATATTTATGAATTGACAGTGACCTATTTTGTTATGAGATTATCGTGGATCCAGGCACCCGCTTTTAGTCCATCTCTTTGTCCACGGAATTGGCATTATGCATCTCATAAAATACATCAATGCATTATATGTCTACATTCTTTATGATGTTAACAGTACTATATGACACTCCCGGATAGGTCGTAATGTAGCTCTCAAGGAAATGACGTTCCAAGACACTACATTTTCTGAAGTAGTCTCCGGCGTGAATCTGCGTTATCCCTCGGACAAAGCAGTGGATGGCAACAGGGACAAGCACTTTTACAACGGACAGAGCTGCTCCCGTACTAGCAACCAACGAACACCGACATTTCCTGTCCCGACGTGGGGTTTACAATTGAAACATGAGCGCACAGTCAACAGATACGTCATTTACAACAGAGGCGATAGTATGTATATTCAATGTTTTTGTCTTTTCTTTTCTTTTGTGATGTTTTCAGTGTATGCGTAAATATGAGTTGATGACAAGTAGACGCAATCTGGGCGGTTCTAGCAACAATGAAGACAAAGCTATGTGGTACACGAGAAGATATAGACTGTACCATGGATTTCATAAGGGCTACTTTTCCTGACAAAAGGGTCGAAGAAGAAGAAAATGAATAATAAAAATAATAATAATAAAAATAATAATAATAAGAAGAAGAAGAAGAAGAGGAAGAAGAAGAAGAAGAAGAAGAAGAAGAAGAAGAAGAAGAAGAAGAAGAAGAAGAAGAAGAAGAAGAAGAAGAAGAAGAAGAAGAAAAAGAAAAAGAAGAAGACAATAAAGACGGATGTACAATGTATATTTAAAAATATTTATGAACAGCTGACATAGTTCAGGTTGCTTTTTGTTATGTCTGTTTATGCAGAAATTACAGTCTGGAATACAATCTGGAAATAATGTATATTATGGTCTTCAGCATCTGCTAAAGTCAAAGTCACTTTCTTCCATAAAATAAATATGAAACGTTGATTAGGCAAGTCGATTTATATGGCTCTGAAACTTGAAATGCAACTAAAAGAGATAAAGCCTTATTGAAAATATCGATGAATCTCAGTTCCTATTAAAGATGTGAACAACGGGGAGTGGAGAGTGAGAACAACAACGAAATTCAATATCTGTTTAAATCACCATTGATCACTGGCATTATGAGAGCTAATAAACTGAAACGGCTGGGGCACAATAAGAGAATGTCAAATAACAGATAAGCAAAAACTTATACCCAAGGGATTTGAATGGTCGTAGACCAGGAGGCAGACCAAGAAGACGATGGAGATATTATGTCGAGACACTTAGTGTCACCAGTTGCAAAGACCAGACCAACCAGAAAGATGAGTGGAGGCGGATGATATTTACAGCAATGAACCTCACGGGATCGGAATGCAGAAGAAGATAAAGATGCTGAAATACGAACCAGCTCAAAAAACAACTTTAGAAAAAAAAATTATATCTTTATATGGCCTATTTATACACAAGAATAAATGTCATTGTCAGGAAAAAGCAAGTAGATGACACACAAGTGCCACGACAAGTTGAAAATAGCTACACGTAAAAGGCCTCAACGGTGTGGTCTATCTGAGAGCCCAGGAAACTTATTCGTGTCGATTGGGGCTCGAAAACAGGACTACGATGGTTCCAGTGCTATTGTTATAAAAAAAACGGACCCCTTTCTACGCCCCTTGACGAACTGAGCGTGTAGTGATAAACCTTTATTTTACCAGTCGGCACTCTCTAGGCAATGTGGTCAACATCACGCGAGCTACTGTTACAGCCAGTAATATAGCCAGTATATGGGCCTCTATATCGACAAACCGAGAGTGTAGTTACACGAGACTAAATTACAAACATTTGTATAAATATGTGCCGCCACCGCAATGAAGGGAGACGACGTGGTGTAGCGGACAGACACTTGTCTGCGGATTTGAAGGGTTGAAATCCGGCCGAAGCCGTACTTTAATTTTTTTTTTTTTCAATGACCATGGCTGCCAAGTCGATCCAGAGTTTATAGGTGCCAGGTAAAGTCCTTGGAAGGAAAGGTGGTCGGCGAAATGTAGACCACATCGCCTACAGAGTGCCGACTGGTCTGTTAAAGTAAAGTCTAGCATTGTACGCCTGATACGAACGAATCTGCGGGATATGCTGCTATAATCCACAATAAAGATGGCTACCAACTGCAGTCTTCTGAAATAGTGTGTGGTGAGGCCCCAAACTTCATCAGTGCAGCGACTCTCGTGGTACTTGCCAAAAACCACGTTAAGGGTTGTTGGTTTTTTTTTTGTTTTGTTGTTGTTGTTGTAAATCGTGAAATTCAAAGCCTAGTACACGAGAATGAAGAAATATGTTAACACGTCAGTGATAAGGCCGGATACTGAAGGTACGGGATAAAGGCTGTAAAAGTATATAAGTTCAGTGGTATGTAAGCACTCATGTGGACCTCAAGAACTTCTTGTTCAAAAGACGCACAGCTGAAATGATTCCAGATCATTTACTTTCTTGTTTATGGTCGTCTATAGTCCGTTCTAGAAGTAGTGCAGACATTTGAAAACTCTTTAATTCAGTAACATTTCGGTGAAGGTTTTTGAAATTGGGCGTGCAACCTATTATTAATCATGTCCTTGTAATAATTTTTTCTTTTTTAAACAAAAACGTCTAGTTTTCATTTTGACTTTTTTTTTTTTTTTTTTTTGCGGTATAATAACACAGATTTAAAGCAAACAATTAGAATGCTTATAGATAATTTAGTAACGGGAACTTTTCAAAACACGCATTTTATAGGTGATTCACTATAAGATGGATGGTGATCTCAAACCTTGCTTAAGTTGTTAGATGAAGAGGATTTTTCATTGTATGTAGGACAGGTTATCGAAAATATCTAGTATCAAGTATCAAGGCAGGAGTTTTGAAACGCGGACTATAGGTTTAATCGTAGTTATCGTATTTTTAGTAAGCGTATGCCATACAATATTTTGTAGAACTATCTTGAGCACTAGTGTTCGTGTGTGTGTGTGTGTGTGTGTGTGTGTGTTTGTGTTTGTGAGTGTGTGTGTTTTTTTTTTTTTTTTTTAGTTATATTAGACACGAGATTCGCTGTTTAGTTACCCAGCGCTTTGACAACCGGACAATGCAATGGTGCACACATGTAATACTAACTAACGGAACAATACTACTGAGCTCAGAAGAAGGTAAGATTAGACAAGGCAGACCCAAAAAAAAAAAAAATACCTTGATACACAATTTGACTGACTGAGAG